GTAAAATGGATTAAAAATATGATATGATTGTTTTCGACCATGCAATCTAAAATTTAAAAAAAAAAAAAGAAAAAAAAGAAAGGAAATTTGCTGGCACTACACACTACTTCAAATGTAATTGAGTTAAGCTTTAAGTACAGGATACATTTGACCCAAGTAAGCTGGTATTTGAGCTTGAGATTAAAACTTACTACTAGTAATAATTAAGTTTTAAATGGTCAAGTTGGAGTTCTTCTTTATTTTTTTTAATTTTTAATCTATATTAATTGTACTTTTTTTGTGTATCAATTTGTATTAAAAGCATCCATTTAATATTAGTGATAAAAATAAGTTAAATTTTTATAATTTTATATTAAAAATATAATAAATATAAAAAATTATAATTAATATATCATTAATGTGATTTGCTCTTAACACACATATGACAGATGTTGATTTAGAAAAGGTCTTGTATTTAAATTTTATAAATAAAAAAAATAAATATTAAAATTTTTAAATAAAATTTAATATAAATTAATTTTAAATTAATATAACTTTTAAATATAAAAAAATAATAATAAAATTTGTTGATTTAGGGATTAGAAATTTTCTACTTTTTACCAAACAGCACTTTGTAGGTTGTGTGGGGAGGTGTGGCAGTCAGTTGTCCCCCACAATCCCCCTCTTGAAGGTCGAGTCAATCGCTTGCATGGGACCCTAAGGACAGTGATTCCCCGGACCCCACTCACTTCAAGAGTCCTGATTCAGCCACGTGCTAGGTCACAGGTTGAACAGAACCGTGTTCCCACTGTCATGCAGGTACCGGATCATTTCTTCTTATCAAAACTACTGCAGTACAAATTTTCTTTTTTTTAGTTTACTCGAATGGGTAAAAAGGGATTAAAATTTTTTACATGCCAGTAAAAGTTATAAAAAAAAAGAAAAAGAAAAAGGCGTGTAATCGTGTACTGTCCATCTGTACCCCTAGAAGGGTGAGGAAATCAAAGAAAAAAAAAATCAATAATAATAAACATAATTTAAAAAAAGAAAATAAATGGCGCGTTTGGGTTTGCTATTAGAAAATTTTTTTTGTGTAGTTACTAATATTTTTTTATTTATATATATTTGATAATATTTTTTAAAATTATTTTTTT